AAAATACACTTAATAAACAAAAATAAAACAAAATGATCTCGGTCGTCGATCTTCAGCTCCTCCTCGGATTAGCATGGACGGTTGGATGTCCGCATCATCTACTCAAGCGAAAACCTTTAGATTCTAAGGTTGACCGCCATAATTCAAGTTTACCTTCAACTCCTTCTGTAGTCTTATCAATAAGAAGAATATCATCAGCAAAAAGCATACACCAAGGTACATCCTCTTGCAAATGTCTAGTGAGAATAGCCATGACTAAAGCAAAAAGATATTATTTGCAAATACATGAGACCATGACAATATATATATTGTAATTATTTGTATATATATTATACGTTTATTTTTGTTGTTATGTGTTGTTTGAGACTTGTAAGTTTCAGTACCTCATATGTGTTGATTTTGTATTATATGCATAAGTGAATATTCACGTTAGTGTTCTCATGAATTATTTTAGTGTACATCGATTTCATTTTCAATCTCATTTCATGTGAAATTTACTTCTTTTCTTTGAGTGGCAAATTCGATAATGCGGGGGTCTTCGTGGACAATTTTGTTGTCTAGGACACATTGACCTACTTTTTTCTACGAAATGAGCGACACTTGAGTGGTTTTATTGCGATCGAGACGTCTTAAATTTGTTTTGCGTGATGTTGCTTTGTTTCAGTCTTCAACGTTTGTTTAATTGTTTTGGAGCACGAAGCTTATATCGAGGACAACAAATATAGGAATTTTTATTGTCCCAACAACTAGAATCCTTAGCAGGTCATTTATTTTGTAAGTACAGTAGGATATCATTATGCAACATTAAATAAAAGTGATTGGAGGTTTCAATTGGTCAACCGTAATTTGGGATAATGCTAATGATGATGAGTCTAGTAGTTTAATCCATAGATGCATTTGTGCACTCTTGTGTGAATGACTAGTCATGTATACTATTGTCATGAATTATTAACTAATTATTAAACTAAAGCCATTTCTCGAGTGTTCTTTTCTATTGTAAGCACTTTTCACTATACTTGTTATAAAGGGCATATATTTTGATATCGTTTGTTTTAATTCTTTTTTAATAGATCCTTTATGACTGCGGTGACTTGCATCCTTGGTCTTCAATATGGCCACATCCTTGTGCAGTTGGAGGTATGAGTTTCATTGTTTTTTTACACTGTACATGCTCTATTTCTCTTTTAGCATCAAATTATTATGCTGTGGTTAGCAATTCATACTTATACATATCATAAATATTCAGCACTTATTTTTTATTAAATTTTGGAAGAATAATGCCAGTTATATTCCTTTGCTGTAACTGATTAAACCTTCAGCATGTTGATCTTTGTCGGTTCTACAAATTTAAAATAAATAGAACTTTCTCATCAGAGAATATTCAAGCTTTGACACTTTTTAAGGTTATTTTTTTCCTCCAAAAATATTCTTTAGACCTTTTTGGAACAAGTATGCAATTTTATTTCTTTATAACTAAATCCTGATTGATTGTTGTAGGTTACTGACTATTTTTAGATGTAAAGTTTTAGAAATGCCAAACTACATTGACCTAGGAATTACGGAATATTCGGTGTTGATAGTTGGCTATATATCTAATTATTGCATTTTGTTTTTACTTTCAACTTGGTGCTACTATGTTATGGTTGTGTGGACATACCTGACTTTTGACATTTCAAATATTTTATGTATAAACGGGCATTCTGGTCCTCATAATTCTGATATGAATTTAATCAAAAATCAGAAAAGAAATATTATCTAGATCAGTATACTAAAAATAATAAAATTTATCTCTCAATAAGTATTTTGTTAAAATTTTGGGACTTGCAGACTTTATTTCTCATTTTCTGTTCCTGATTCTTTTGAATGTTTGACATCCCATTTAAAATTTGTTTCCCTCACTTTTACTCTCTCACACGCTCACAATCTGTTTATGGGAAAAGAAAATGGTCTTTGGTCTTTTGCGTCACCTATGGTGTGATATGATACGCTTTTATAATAGAAAGTCATTTCAATGTCTCATTGAAAGTCATTGAAAGTAAGAATTTATCTTGAGAATTTTATTGAACCTTTCTTTGAGGCTTACCTGTGTCTTCTATGATGGCATCAGCCGTGCAATCTAAAAAATATTCTAAAATCTTAGGTTTGAAAAATCATCGGAATAGATGGCAGCTGGTCGACGTTCTCCACATGTATAACATCTAGTACACTTCACCTTTTTAATCAAATTATCTATGATATGAACTGCACTATGAATGCTAACAAAAAAGAACTTTCAGGTAGCAACAAACAGTTAATATTCCGATAAATTTACTGAATATAGTGCTTTTAATTATCTTTATTATAACCACCTCAGGTTGCAATTATCTTTGGCTTTCGTGGGATCATGCTTCTTTATATTTTATGCTTTGCTTATCTATTATTTATCCTCTCATTTTTTCTTTCTGCTAGCTTTGGGTTAGCCGTAAATTCTGCTTATCATTCATCCTGATAATCTTTTACTATTGTTTTGAGTGATTAATCATCAAACTTTTTTCTTTTGGCATGAATATCTCAGGATCATAAGGATCGCCTCAAACATTGGTTGCAATTTTCCATTTCAGTTTTTTCATTTGGTTTATTTCTTTATCTTATAGGTGAGTTAATTTTTTATGCTTTTGCTCCATGCATTAGATTTGGCTTTTGTTAAGAAAGGTAAAGTTAGACCTAAGAAACCTTGGTTAAAAAATATTAGAAAGGACCTTTTTTATTAGATTTAAATGAGAATTTGACTCTTAACATGACACAATGAAGAAAAAAGATTCATATAGCTAACCCCACGTAGTGGAATAAAGGCTTGATGTTGTTGTTATTTTGCTACATGCACTAATTTTTCACTTCATTTCTGCAAACGTCACTTAAAAAATCCTGAACTGCCACTTTTCCTTTACAGGTGATCCCCTGAACAAACAGTTATACACTGTTAGTTACGCCCTTCTAACAACAGGCTCAGCAGGCCTCACTTTTTGTGCTCTGTACGTTCTGGTAAGTCTTTTGGATACTAGCAGTAGTGAAAAATGCATCAAATGCAATTAACTTGTTTTGGTAAATGGGAAAGGTCCCTTTCAAATTAGTAAAAAAAAACAATTATCATTGTTATGATAATAATTATGGTAGATTATAGCACCTAAAAAAAATAGTTTTTCGTGTATGTTTTTTGGTGAAAATATGATATTTTTTAAAAGCTATAGGGATAGATTGCTAAATCCCTACTAATTCATAGATGCTAAACATTAGATACGAAGTGTAAATTAGCATAAATTGGCTATAGGGGTTGTTGGTAAGTGACGAGGTGTGTGAAGGCTCGTAAGGGAATATTGGAGCAATTTAGGGTGCATGAAAAGAAGGTTTGACCAAGAGCTTACAAATATAGGGAAGCCTTTGCATGGGATGTTGGAAAGTTTTGAATGAGCGTGTAGCATAAGAGAAGATGAAGAAGGTGGGGAAACGATAATCAAAATGTAAAGAACAAAGATAAAATTAAGTTCAAATCAATTCTCACCAAAAAAATAGAGAGCGGTCACCAACCTAGTCCAAAGAAGAAGATAAATTTTCAATTTCTTTTTTACAATAATTATTTTCATTACATTGTCTTGTGGGCTCCGAAAATTCGGCCTCGGCCTCGACTCGCTTTTCTTTTATTCGGCGATGGAGTTTTAACTAATCTGAATAAGTTTCCAGGGTAAATTTTGGGAAGCAGATGGGTTTGTAGATAAGACACTACCAGAGATTTCGCCCCTATTTGTGAGGACTTTATGATCTGAGTCTGGTTTCCTATAGGCGTAAGCCCCTATAGTTAATTACCCTCCCGATCACGAGAAGAAAACTTTCGATTAAGGCTAGTCGTCACAGATACGTAGAATATACGTGTTATTCTGGCATATAGTAGCAGCTAAACTTGGATTTGAAATTGATTGGTTTGGATATTTGGAAATTGAGTTTGAATTTGATATTGGAAAGTTGAAATTTGATATTTAAAACTGGAATTTTCACCATCTGGAACTTAAAGCGTATGGTGGAATGGATGATAGACCCGATCAAGATCCCATGGTCCGTCATCCGGGCCATCGTGGTTCCTGGTCTACTTAGTCAGAGGATAGTCGACTAACCTGACAGAAGGTCCTTGTCGGCAGCCATGGGTTGCTTCGTCCAAGGGACCTTGTAGACCGGGTTGAATGGTTTGTCTAAGGGGACAAATTTAATCCACCTTAGCTAACAGAGGGCTTTGTGCCCTATCGATCATATCCTATTGATCAACTCAAGGATTAACGCCATTAAGGAGCGTATTGTCTCTGCCATAACTGCTATCTGTGTGCATTTGGCGGCAAAACTACTCGGTTCAGAGGGCCCCGGGTCATAAACCGTTTTACCTACAGTGCCATTTTGCGGCGAAACGTCGATTGAGAGCACGTACCAAGTCCTTACAGCATTATATTTTTTGAGAATGGATCCTAGTGATTTTTTCGACTAGGCATTTAGTTCTTTTGTGAGCTGAAGTAAATTTATATTTATCGCCCCGGCAAACTGTTGCGGAGGGTGGATGATTTTGCTTAAGCGTTGAGATGGATTGATTTCATTTTAAATATTTTTTTGGATTTTGTGGAGTTTTTGGATTTTTTCTGGGATTTGGTGGAGCTTTGGATTTTTGGATTTTGCATTGTGGTAGAGTTTGAAAATATTTGGGGACCCCTCGGTGAGATAAACAATCAACACGGCCATCATCGGGTGTTTTGGGGTCATTTTCACTTTATGGATTGAACCTTTCAACTCTATCGGGCTTCGACAGCATGGATCGGGTTTTGTAGGCTTTGTGCCTTTTGTTCATGAATTTCTTGATTTCAAGCCTTAAAGGCCTAAAAAGTAATGTATAAATAATATATTCCGGTCAACTCCGTAACACATATTTATTCGAATCTTGAACCCTGTCTACTCCTATTTCTCTATTTAGGAGGATCGGGTTTCATAGGTTTCATGCCTTTGTTAGTGAATTCTTATAGTTGTAGCCTTAAGACCTATATGAATGTTTTAAAGCAAATATATCGTGTCGTCACAACTTTATATTTGCTTAATGTTCGAACCCTGTCGACTTCTATTGACCTGTATAGAAGGATCAGTTTCGAACCTGATTCACTTTCAACCCGCGCAGCATCCCTAGACTCACGTGTAAATAACACGCTCGCCGGGCCCATGGGTTAGATTGTAACTTTCATCTTTAGTGTACCTATGTGTACATTTTATAGTGCACGACGGTGTATTTTGAAAATATTTATAGACCCTTCTGTCCTGTTGCTAGAAATTGCGGATCTGGTGGCGTGAGTTGTAGTTTTGTGGGCCTTCTGTCTGCTTGTATGAGTTTGCTGATCCGTGGCGTTAGATTTGATTGTTGATACCCCTTTCTCAATCACGCGGAAGGCTTTTATAAGTTATGAACATTATTTTGAATGGAACTTTTTTAAGATCTTTAAGTAGTTAGACTTGATATTTTCTGATATTGGGATGCAGAGTTTCTCCCTTCCTGAATACAGGATCGGAAGATCTTATCACCGCAGTGTCGTAGGTGAACTCTAATACTTGTGTCCACGTGGTTGATGTGTAGAGTATCACAGGTTGTTATCCACAAGTGGCTTGTGTTTGCATGCGGGGACCTCGTAATTAGCTACAAGTCTAGGAGTAATTCGTGTGAGAACCCTCACTTTGCATCGAAACCACACTTTCACCGAATCTCACGTGGTGCGCTATTGGGTTGCATTTGTTCTGTAAGAGGACGTATTGTCCTCCACTATTGGTTCCCGTTATGCCATTCTCAATAACAGCGGTTGTAGAAATTATAGTAGGGAGTTCATGCATCAAGCCTGTAACGTGCTTGTGTCACTTTTGACTTATGAGTGCTTTGTAATTTGAATTTTCTCGTGTATATAATGATTTTGTTTCTTGCATGTGTTTGAGTGCCGATTAAGTCTTATTCAGACCGGGTTTATCAGTTCACAACTCCCACTGAATTGTTTAGTAGCACGAATCAAGAACGGATTCAAGTTCTTAGCCGACGAGTGCAATTCTTATCGGATTCCATGTCCCTCTGATTTCTGCTCCATTCAGCTCGAGTTTTGTTCAAATTCGAATATTCGTCAAGTCTCAAATTGATTGTTCAGGGTCCTTGAAATTCTTTGCAGTCATTTGCATGTTCACTTCTTTGTTCAAAGTCCTCTGGAGTCTTTTAATCCAATTCATGTTCAAATGACTTAATTTGTTTCAAATATGATTTTATTTCATTGGATTTTGGATTTTTTAGAAGTCATTTGAATTTTGTTAGTTTCCTCTGGCACATTGTTCACGGTCCTCTGTTTGTTATTTCTGTGTTCAAACCCAATCCAGTCCCGATATTGTTCTTCTCATTTGACTTTACCAAATCAAATTGTAAGTTCAAATCTTAGATTTTCAAATTTTTTGTTTGAGTTCATCTTAGTGATTAAACAAGTTTATAAAGCCCGAATCCACCGTTAATCAAGTTCCAAATGTTTCACAAGCTGAGTTCAAGTTCGATCTCTACAAGCTTAAGTTCAAGTTCTTGCATTGCACATTTATTTTATTAGAATTAAAGTTTGATTAGTCACTTAGATATTGATTCAAAGGTCCAAGTACAAATCCCATTGATTCAAGTCCACATAGTCCCAAACGTTCCAAGTCCTGGATTTTCAATCCAAAATTTCGGCAGCTCCCGCGTCTCCCCCGTAAGGGCGGCAAAAAACCCAAGAGGTCGTCTACCCCGCCACGCCACCAAAAGGCGTGCACGGTGGTGTTTGTAAGACACCCGCGTACGGTTGTATTGTTTATTTTCTCCCACCACGGCCAACAAGGCTGCTTGGTGTTTTTAAAAGCATTTTTATGAAAAGATAGCAATTTTTATTCCCCCCCCGGAGGGATACTTATGAGCGGACCTTCCTGCTCTGGTTCGCCGTAGGTGCCGCCACCGGTGTCCCATCCCACCACGGCACCAAAGGCGTGCTTGTGGCGGTTTCCGGTTCGCCCTCGATACATTGAAAACAGATTTTTTGAGTTTAGAAAAATCATACCTTCGCGGGGTTGTCGGGGTTTGACACATGGATCGAGGGTCACTCGCCTAGCCTCTCGTAGTGTCGCACGGGTTCCTCCTACCACGCCGCACCCAAGGCGTGCTAGGGTGTTTCCGGTCCACACGAAACGTCGAGAGTAAGAGAGTTGAGGGGATATTTTTTATCTATTTTTATTTTATTATATTAATTAATAATAACAATTAATAAATTATAATAATAATTAACAAACTAATTATTAATCAACTATAATTAGTAAATTAACCAAATTATAATTAACAATAATAACTATAATTTAATTAAAAGTAATATAGTTAATTAAGATATATTATAATTTAATAATTAACTACTAACATAATAATTAACTATAATTAATAAAAATTAATTATTAATCATAATTAATATAATAACTAAAATAATGTAAGTAATAATTAAAAAATAAATAAACCCCCCCATCTTGGTTCGGACCTAAGTTCGATTTTTTGCCGAAGTAAGGGCAAGAGAGAAAGTTATCCTATACAACCCCGCGAAGCTCGTGTTGTTGTTTCCGATCGGGGAGAAATAGGCGACGGAAGCAAGCAGCTGGCGACAGAGCCTCGTCGCAGGGGAAGAGGTCGGCGCACCGGGACTTGAGCACGGTGAGGTCGCAATGGGAGCTGAGGTTCCGAGTCGGGTAAGCAAATCCCCCTTCCTCTCTCTCTCTCTTCTCTCTCTCTCTCTCTTCTCTCTCTCTCTCTCTCCCTCGGCGAGGAGGTCGACGACCACAATGGTCGGGTGAGGAGAATGAGGCCACGGTTCAGGCTGGGTTGGAACTCTCGTGCGGGAAGGGGAGGAATCACGTTGTGTAGTGGAGAACAGAGAAGATCGCGCGAGAGGGAGTATTCGTGCGAGAGCAACGGGATCGAGTAGAGGTGAACG